TGGCTACAAGGAACAACCTGTTTCCTGTGGAATTCCTTCAATTTTTGACCAGTTCATACCTCTCGAGCTTAGGAGTACATTTCAAGCACCGTATTTCGCAATAAGACTACCTCTGAGAGATGCAGAAATGAAGAGATGTTATAATGATTTTAAATCTGTTGGCCAAGGTTTATCTTGTGAACAATGGAAACATTTAAAAAGTGTGCAGGTTGTTTAAATCAAGAAATGTTTCTGCTTTTCCGAGTATGTTCCCTTTTATATTCTGTTTTTGTATTTTTGCACTGTGTAGATCTAGTCTGGGATGTGCAATACAGTATTGGTGCTTTGAGCTTTAGCTCAGAAAACGAGCTTTGGAGTGTGTCACTACTTGTGTCTGCATGAAGTTTGTTGAATTTGTTACTTTGTCCAAATATATCTGCAGAAGTGTTTAAGTATTCATGTACAACCAGAAGAGAATATTGCTGTTATTGTGATCATGATACTTAGTGTTGCGTTTGCGGTGACGTAAGGGCATACTGCTACTTGTGTTTGGTTGTACTCGTTTTGGTAATATGTGCCTTCATACTGCACATGCCTAGAAAGGCCAAATTGGAGCCTCATGTAAGAAGCACGGGCCTGCTTGGCAAATAAGCGCTTGTAGTCAGTGAGCGTCAATTTAGCAGTAGGTGTGCTGGTTTCCAGCTGTGTTCTCGTCATAGATAATTTTATTTGTGGGGTTTTTTTTTGGCTGCGTCTTTCGGGGTGTGCTGCTGAACGTATACTGACTGTGATAGGTGAAAATATCATGAAACCTTGTGATAATGCTGTATTGTATACATTTTAAGCACAGAGCACTCATGGTGCCACTAAAGCTCTGACAAGTGTCGATTCTTGTTGTGCCTGCTCTTTGGGCCTCTCGATCTTCTGTTGCTCTTAGTGGGCCCCTCTACCACCCATGAGTGGAAATTTATGTGCAGCATAGCAGTTGTGCGTGAGTCTACAGTGAACATGTAACCATGAGAATTTTTCGAAAAGGTGCTGTGATAGTGACTAATAGGTGAAAATGTGTTGCAATGGTACTTACACATGTTTGATGACTGGCATGTGGCCCTCGCTCGTTTTCCTCTTTCCTTTGCTATGCCACGTTCGTCGGTTTGTAACTCATCCTCGCAGTGTGCTCAACCTCACCATTCCTGGAGAGAAAGCAGGGAGCTCCTGCACATCTGCTGCTGACGCATAGGTTTTTGTTGGTGCCGATGCGATGGGACGCGGGTGCTGTTATCGCAACCAACGCTGAGAAAAACCGAAAGGTCCATAGAGGGACCAGGGATTGTTTTTCTGCTTTGTGGTGCACCTGTGACCTGTAGCTACGCCACATTCGGCAGTGTTGGTTGTGATGGCATACTGAAGCTGACGCACTTTATTACTAGAATTGTGAGAAAAAAAAAATTGGCAGATCCCACATACAGTGGTAATCGACGATATGCAAAGCACGAATGAGGAAGGTTGATAGGTCACTCTAAAAACAGCACAACATTACGAAGCGGACGTAAAATATGCCGTACATGACTTCCTTGTTATGATTATCTTGTTTGGACGTGTCATTTACCTCTCTCATCTATTCTCATCACATTATACCAAATTAGGTATATGTGGAGCTAGTGAAACGGCCACAAGCACGCTATAAGCGTAGCAAGGAGTCATGTTTTCCATGACATGCATGTCCTGATTATTATGTTTGGAGTTTCATTTACCTTTGTCATCCGTTTGCGTCATGCAATACCCAATTTGGTATGTGAGGCTAGCGAAACGGCCACGAGCACATTATGAACGTGGTATGTTGTCATGTTCTTACATCACACACATGCCATAATTATCATGTTTGCTCCTGTCATATACCTTCGTCATCCATTGACGTCATGTAACACCAAATTTGGTATGTGTGAAGCTACAGAAACGACCGTGAGCGCACTATGAGCATAGCAACTAGTCACGTTGTTACATGACACGCATGTCATGATTATCATGTTTGGACGTGTCCTTTACCTTTGTCATCCATTCACGTCCCATACTTCCAAATTTTGAATATGTAATGCTAGCAAAACGGCCGCAAGTGCATCATGAGCATAGCATGTACTCATGTAACATGACACGCATCTCATGATTATCATGTTTGCACCAGTCACATACCTTCGTCATTCATTCATGTCACATAATACCAAATTCGGTATTGTGAAGCTAGCAAAACGGCCGTGAGTGCATCATGAGTGTGGCATGTAATCATGTTCTAACATGACATGCATCTTATGACTCATGTTTGCACCAGTCATATACCTTCGTCATGTATTCACGGCCTGTAATATCCAATTTGGTATTTGTGAAGCTAGCGAAACGACCACGAGTGCATCATGAGCGTGGCGTGTAGTAGACTCATGACTTATTTGACTTGCATGTCATGATTTCCACGTTAGAGTCTGTCACTTGTGTTCGCCATGCAGTCATGTCATACCATACCAGTTTTTCAACATGCCATGCGATCGAAACCACCGGAAGAGCAGCAAGACTATGAAATGCAAATCGTGACATTCATGACATATATGTCAGGATAATCATGTTATGACTAGTTAATTATGCTCGTCATACTCATGTTATGCCATACCGATCTTGGTATCAATACCATTAACGAAGCAGGAGAGCTACAGGTCGTAGGCGGATAGATAGATAGATAGATAGATAGATAGATAGATAGGTAGATAGATAGATAGATAGATAGATAGATAGATAGATAGATAGATAGATAGATAGATAGATACGTACGCTCAATGTCGCCGAAGTTCGGTAAGAAATGCTTGGCATTTAAGAAAATAATACGACGTGGTCACCATATCGGAGTGTCCACTTTGCTTTTTGTATGTCTGCACATGCGTCGTTTCTCTACATCAGCAGTGTCCTTTTTTTTTTTTTGTACTCGCATTGACACTGTTTTCTCGGATGTTGTAGTTGAGCATGTTGTGCTACCTTGGTGTCTTTAAAGGGCCGGTAAAAAGGCTCCGACGTTTGTTTTTTTTGTACACCCTCAAAAAAACAAAAAAAAAGGTCGGCAATTCGTCGAGCAGGTCACGGCGATCGCGTTTTCAGAATGTTACAGAACTGCGTTTCGAAAAAAACGCGCCGTACAAAACCAACCGACGAGCGGCAACTGAGCGAGCGAGCGCCGACCTTGAGTATATATACAGCGCGACGGCGCATGCACTGTCAGCTGTCGAATGTTCGAGAAGGGGGAGAAGCGCAACGGCGTATGCGCGCGCGTCAGCTGCCGATGTTCTCGAAGCGCGACGGCGCATGCGCGCGCGTCAGCTGCCAATGTTCTCGAAGCGTGACGGCGCATCCGCGCTACATTATACAGCTAGCGAATGTTCGTGAAGAGGAGAAGCGCACGCGGTGTGTAGAGGAGGAAGGGTGCACAGATGGTGGAGGAGTGAAGCGCGCGCGGTGTGTAGAGGAGGAAGGGATGCACAGATGGTGGAAGAAGGAGGAGGAAGCTTGCGGACGGCGCCGCACTACAAGCCTCGAGTATTAGATGCTCCGCATCTAAAAAAAAAAAAGGTCGGCAATTCGTCGAGCAGGTCGCGGCGATAGCGTTTTCAGAATGTTGCAGAACTGCGTTTCGAAGAAAAAACATAAACAGTTCTCGCGCTCCTTTCCTATGCATGACAAATCCTCCTTTCACGCGCAGTGATTGAAGCCGCAGATCGGAGACTTGACGTAGCACGCAACTCCTCGCTTGGTCTAAAGCAGTCACGACGACGGGGTACGCCTTCCCCTCCCTGTGAGTGAGAAGAGTGGCGAGGCCTCGCGAAAATTTGAAACCAGCTGAAACGAATGTTCTAACCCCTGTAACTTCCTTAATATAGCGCGCATTTGCGAAATTCTTGCGGCAGAATTTTTACAAAGCGAAAATGCCTATACGTTTATAACAATTTCTTCGGGGTTGATTACTGGCCCTCTAACGAACGCCATGAGTTCGAAATTTCCGGAGCCTTCCACTGCGGCGTCTCTCTCAAGTGGGAGGTCAAAGCTCAACAATGACTTCTATTTTGTTGACAAACAATGGAACCCTTCCGTTAGTGTGAATATTGAAGCCAAATGTGAGTCGCACGTGCTGCGGCAGCAACCTCACCTCGTTTTTACGCCTATATTCACGCTTCTGTCCCGAAACAAGTTATCTAACCCTCGTATTCACAAACGCTCCTCGACTCGGCCTTCACCGTTAACTTGACAGGGTTCAGCACAGCGCCACCACTCGGCTTAAAATGACACTGCGCTATTCAAGAATCGGAGCAGATTATTGGTCGTATGCAGTTAGTCGCTGTGCCTCGAGACGGCGCTCTCATCGGCTTTTTCAAGTGAAGGTGAAGCGTTGAATGAAGGGACGTTCTAGAATACGGGGGTAAGTACACTTCTCGTACAATGGGTCTGTTTTATCACTCTTTCGTCCCCGATTGCGCACATCCTTTCTGCATAGCGTTTAAAACTTGCATAGTCTGACAAAACTCTCATTCGCCTTTAATGCCGAGCCATGCAGCTACGCTCCAGTTTCTTTTTTTTTTTTTTTTGCAGCTTTGCGATAATTTTTCGAGATATCTGCGCGTGGCCATTCGCAGAAAAGAACATCGTGAAATCACTTACAGGGCGTAGTGAACGCGGTGTTATCAACTAAACACTGAAAAAAAACAAAAGTGAGAGAGAGGTCTGTCGAGAACCTGCTGACGCACGTCATCTCTCATCTTTGCCCCGGCCGGGTGATATATCAGGCGCGTGACGTCACCGTGCGATAAGCGTACCCAAATCGTTGCGCGAACAGGTGGCAAACATCGACCAAGGGGAGATAATATAGCGTAGGATAAGGAATCAAGTCGATGTTTATCGACGTGCAAAACAGTCACTCCGCGTCCGCGGCAACCCAAACTAGGATCCCTGGCGAAGAACTTAGGCTGATCTAACTCGCGAGCAACCCTTGCGGAAGAGGCGTCCAGTATTAACTGAACGTAAGTGTGAGATTCAATTCGCATAATAGAAAGACAGGCTTTTGACTATGACACTAGCTTTGGCAAGATAGGCAATGCATGCTTTACAAGCGGCCTCAGAGTTTCGTTGTATAAACGGGTGCGTAATACTTTCTTTTTACTTTCGTGGACGTTTCTGAACCCTGCGGTTTCACGCAATCGTTTTTTTTTTTGGCGAATTAAATGTGCAATAGGTTTGAAACAGTCGATAAATTACCCTCGTGTCTTCGGTCTGCTAGCTTGCTACTTGATCAGGAAGGAGTTGGTTCATATATAGTTCAAACTCCATAGGGAGTGTAAACGCTTTGAGAATTTCCGGTGGTATCAGGCTGGGCGGGGCTACAAACACCGCAGCATAGATGACAGCCTCGAGTCGTTGGACACGGGCGGCTTCCTGGACGTGCCGGACGGCCAACAGTTAATCGGTAGAGGACAAATTTTTCGTCTTCTCGGAGAATTTAATCTTATGAAAGCTGTGTCCGTTTCTGTTTTGAGGAATTTGTCTCCGTTTTCTTTGTGGTTCGTCGCACAAGCGAGTTGATGTTAGTTTTTTTTTATTTAATGATACTTCAACATAAAAGGCTTCCGAAGCGTTGATTCGGAAGCCCTGAAATTGTGTGTCCCAAAAAAGTGTCCCATGAAAGTTGAGTGTAGGATTGCGAAGAACTTTTCAAACGAAAATTACTGGACATGGCAGACGTTCTTGAGACACCAAGAAAAAGGAAATTCAGCTTCACTAGTGATTCAGTGTCCCACTGGAAAGTACTAAAATAGCACTCTTAACGCAAGAAGACGCTTGATAATGAGGAAACATATGTAGCTACCGTGGCAGCTCAGAGTGATATTTTAGATTTGAAAGCAGTTTGTTAAGGCTTATAGTTAATTGGTTCATTTGTAAAAAAGAAAAATATCGTGTTAGATAGATAGATATGTGAGGTTTAACGTCCCAAAACCACTATATGATTATGAGAGACGCCGTAGTGGAGGGCTCCGGAAATTTAGACCACCTGGGTTTCTTTAGCGTGCACCCAAATCTGAGCACACGGGCCTACAACATTTCCGCCACCATCGGAAATATATCTTGTTCCAAAACTAAATCATAGATTTGTGATACGAAGTTTCAGGAATTTTCGTGTACTTGTTCTAAACAAACGCAGTGCAAATACGAAAAAAAAAACATGTTGAAATCTGCGTTGTCATAATTGCATAAAGGTCCAAAATCAAAAAACGTTTCAACAGGTTTTTAATGTTTCTTTCTCTAATTAACAACACGTTTTAATATGACTAGTCTCTGTGGAATTTTCCAACGCTGCTTTATATCTCTGACCAGGACAGAAAGACAGGTGGCACAATGATTGCGGTGGTGCTCGGCTGCTGACGTGAATGTCGCGAGTTCGACGACGGCGGTGTCCATTTCGACACCGCCGTCGAGGTGCAACGGAAGAGGGTCTGTGTACTGTACGTGTAATGCCAGCGCGTGTTAAAGAACATCTGACGATCAAGATTTCAGGAGCCTTCCAATATGGGCTACCTCGTAACTATAGCGAGGTTTTTGGCACGTAAAGTCGCACTTGTTACTACTATTAACCCAGTAATTTGTTGCTTTTTCAGTGTCCCCTCACCTCGGCGCCAGCTTGGTTATATGCTTGAGGGTCGAAATTGCTAACTCTTTCGGCAGGGCGGGTGTTGTCTGGCCGACGGGCAAGGCTAACAGCCTATACTTTGGCGGCACCGAAAGCCATCTATGGCTTTCGGTGACGGTGCTTTGGTCGCCCATGCATTCGCGACTTAGGACTCATGACGTCCGCGTTAATATTTGCCGATGACTCATATCACCTATCACCGCGTCTCCGTTTCATTGCGGGCCTATCGTTAGCGTCTTGTTATCAATGCACGTGTTGTTATCACGTAGACGCAAATTGTTCGGTCAAGGATACAGCGGTCACCGTGGTAGAGCAAATCAGCACTGTGCGCGTGATAAGATCAGTGATAGCATTGCGTTATATACACTTCTGTGTCCATTCCGAAGGAAAATGCAGGTTAGAATTTTGCTACATTTCTTTTTTTACCCATATTTAAAGCTGTAATGATTTGTCTTACGACCACATGTGAGATCTCTTTTTTGTTTTTTTTTCGCTAAAAGAGCTACACCAGAAACTGTAAACAAGCTTAATTTCATGGTAGTTTAAAGCCTCCTGGTTTTTTAAAGCAATTGTTGAGTGATAAATCGGGCAGTTGTTCATGGTAACCTGACCTCAAAAATGCAGTTTCGAATCGAGAATGAGCCAAATCCTGCATCTGCTTGAAACTGAGCCAAATACATTGATTGATTGATTAATTGATTGCCACCACTCCACATGATTATGAGAGACGCCGTAGTGGAGGGCCCCGAAAATTTTGACCACCTTGTGTTCTTTAGCATGTAGCGCGTAGACAGGATAACCGCTGGTCGTTAAGGGTAACTAACTGGATTCCCAGAGAAGGCAAGCGGGTTAGGGGGAGACAGAAGGTTAGGTGGTCAGATGAGATTAAGAAGTTTGGTTGCGGGTATAAATTGGCAGCAGCAAGTACAGGACCGGGTTAACTGGCGGAACATGGGAGAGGCCTTTGTCCTGCAGTGGACGTAGTCAGGCTGATGATGATGATGATGGTGGTGGTGGTGTTCTTTGGATCGAACACGTGACCTGCTGGTGAATAGCCGAGTATCATAACCGCCGCGCCACCGCGGCGGATATGCCACGCAAGAACAGCATAGGCGTGCGAATGAGAAGGGGTGGGGGGTGGCGCCCCCTACCCTATAGTCACCTACGGAGGGGGGCGCAAAATCTGCCCTATACATTGACTTTATAGGAATGTGGGGGGGGGGCGCAAAGTCTGTCACATTACATTGACGTGTAAAGGAGGGAGACGCTGCGAAAAACCTTCGCACCCCCCCCCCCCCACCTGAAACCGAAGCCTGCGCACGCCATTGAAAAACAATGTTCACACGTGATAGCTGTTCGCATGCCCGAATCTTGCGTGGTTTGCAGAAGAGTGTACCAAGGCGAACACACCAGTCACATAGGCACTTCTTGCCCGTACTTCAAATAAAGTTGTCTTGAAACAAATGCCGATAGGTATGAAAACATAGCACATGAAGCCAGTTTCATAACAAAGAATTTACTCTCCAACTTCTAGCATAAATGAAATTAAAAAAAAAGTATCTAAAAGTGCCGCCCTTCCAGTCACGCGGACAGTTCTCAGTTATGTCTCTCTTTCACAATCTCTCTCATAACGATTCGCGACTGTTTGTACCTATTAAACCTGCCCGTCAAATATTCGATCGTCTCAATCAGTTTATTGGGTGTAAAATACGTAGAACTGCTGGTTATTATTATACAGGTCCATTGAAGGGCAGAGCCCATTGAATACAGAGCCCATTGAAGGGCAGTTCAAGGGGTCCGTTTTTTTTATCAGTAGTAGTTTTTTGAGCTAGAGGGAAAATATTTAGTAGATATAAGTGCAATGAAAATACGATAAATGCATACAATAGTTACACAGCAATTCAAAAGATACATACTAATGCAACAAATCGAAATGATATTCATGAATTCAAGTATAACTGTTATAGGTTTTGTAGATGATTGCGAAGAAGTTGTTTATACATATGAAATGATGGGGATGCTGGGATGGTACAAGGTAACGTGTTCCAGAGTTTCGATGCAATATAGCTAAACGAGTGTGATCCATGGTTATAAGTACTTATGCCACGTATGCGTAACGGTGTAGTTAATGTAGAACGCAATGAATATGTGGATGTTTGATATGCCAGTGCTACTGACGGGCATTGAACAACGTTGTGCAGAAGTTTGTACGCAAGTAATAATACACGATAGTTTATGCAAAATGTGATGGGTTGTATGATTAGTAGTCTATAAGCAGAAGTTTAGTCTGTCTTTGATATGAAAAGAAGGGAACGTGCTGCTTTGTTCTGTGCTACTATGAAGGGTTTCAGTGTTGTCGGGTAAGTTAATTCATAAATTACTACAGCACATGTGATGTGTCAATGTATGAAAGAACGGTGTAATGTTAACATTGCCCTTATTGGGAAAAGGTAGCGTAGCCTGTAAAGGATAAGTATTTTTATGTATATTTCAAGTGTTGTCTAGTGTACCTGAGTGTGCCATGAAAGTTGTACATCCAAGTATACACAGAGACATTTTGTATTACTAACCCTTTATAGTATAGTGTTATTCACTCCAAGGTAATTACTCAAGGTTAAGTGAGTGTTTCTAGGCGCAAAAATAACATAACTACTTTTAGAGCTGTTGGTGAGTAGTTTGTTTGCTTGAGGCCTAAATAACTTTTTAAAGGCTGTTGTTGCTTTGTGGTATAGGAGATTTTCGTTTTTTTTTTTCTGCCGTTATAAATATGTTAGGGTCATGTGCGTAAAGGATACAACTTTCCAATGTTATAGATGGCAGATGATTAATATGAGCTAAAAACAAGAATGACCCTAGAATTGAACCTTGCGGAACACAGTTACACATCGACATGATGATGCAACATTAACGTGTATACATATCGATTTCTATTATTTATATAATAAGAGCGATGTGTATTCAAATTATCCACCATGCATTTAAATGATTTAACCTTTATTTTCCCGAATGAATCTGCTTTTTATTCACCATTAATTCTTGCTGTTGATCATTGGAACCAACTGCCTAACAATAATGTCTGTATTAAGAATCACAAAGAATTCTTCTCAAACTATTGCTTCATCGTGGTGTTTGAGTGACCTCGTAAAAGACTGCTTCATGTGTACATGTGCTTTAATAGTGTTTTATCCAGCTCGCTGTATGACTGGGTCTCATGACTACTGTTTAGGAGAGAATTGTCCAACCTTGTTCGCTCTTACATTACGTTTCCTTTGTAGGGCAGTTTGTCCTTCTAATTACTTCTCTATGATTTCTATTATTGATGTGATCTTATTTGTTTTTCAAACCATTTGTTACTTTGTTGCTAGTGTTAGTTTTATGTATGTGTTCTACTACACCCCCCTCCCCCCCCCCTATGTAATGCCACGGGTCTTTAGGGTATATGAATAAAAACATGGGTATCTTTGATAGCCACAATTTCTTTCTTTCTTTCTTTCTTTCTTTCTTTCTTTCTTCTTTCTTTCTTTCTTTCTTTTCTTTCTTCTTTCTTTCTTTCTTTCTTTCTTTCTTTTTCTTTCTTTCTTTCTTTCTTTCTTTCTTTCTTTGTTTCTTTCTTTCTTTCTTTTATGTGATTATTCACAGTACGTTTCATTCCATTTCAGTGACTCGAGGGCGTACTTCCGTTTCTTCAAGCCGCACACCCTGCTTCTCTCCCTCGTGACCACGTGACACAGCAAGATGAAGGGGCTCGAACTCGTGGCTGCGGCAATCGGTGTCGCCGTGTTGAACTACGTGCACGGCGCAAGCATCACGTCCACGACAGAGTTCGCCAGAGTGGAGCGAGGGGACAATCTGGGGCCGCGGATTTCCGCTTCCAACAGTGGGCTGAAGATTTCGGGCCGGAACTTAGTTCCTCCTGGACAGGGTGGTCTCTGGGTGGGCCAGTATGACTGGGAGAGGAGGACGAAGTATGAATATAACCGTAAGTTTGCAATCTGACTCTAATATAACGCACAAATCTTTATCCAGTGACCGGTCTCCTTTTCCGTGTTGCTCTCTCTCTATCTGTGCTTGTATATATATCTCCTTCGTGAAAATTATTGCACTCACGTAAAAAAAAAAAAAAAACGCACGTGTTCTGGATGTGAGGCAGAAGAAGGCAAGAAAAGAGCGCGTGGGGGTTCATGAAGATGGTGATTTTCTATCTACGACACATGGCCAACTTTGAGCATAGCAGCTCTGATGTAAAAATAGCAATGAAAAGTGATTTTTCAGGGTGCCCGCTTTTCTGCACCATTTATTTTTCAGATGTGTATATTTCCGACCAAGATTTCATAATGGTGTTTGTATAAAATGATATTATTTAAGTTCGTCTAAGTTGTATATGACTTGTTCCTTTTTTGTACCAGACTAAATTTCGGAGCAAAAGCCTCCGTCCGACTATGTGGCCTTTTTGCTATTGCTTCGTTTTTCGGTTATATGTACAGGAAATAAATCAAACCTCTCTCTCTTTCTTTCGAAAATTCATTTGCTTCCCGGCCTTTTGAACTAATCGCAGACACTAAGGAGATCAGCACCTACTCGTACCAGGAAGGCACCTTGCTGACCGGCTGGGTGATCGCCGTCATCGTCATCGTTCCCTTGATTGTGCTGATCACAATCATCGTGGCAGGCGTGTGCGTCTACAGGGCCTGCACGAGACGAAAGGTACACCATACCAGGGCGCCAGCTTGAAAGCGTGCGAAGAAAAGAGATTGGTAGACAACTGAATGATCAGATGGCCGACGAAAGACTGTAGTGGTCATGCCAAGTTGAAACGTCAACTTACATCACCCCCCGTTCCGTCTCCTTTCTTGCGAGAAGCGTATCGTAAGATAATTTTTGTTTTGTATATAATGAGAAACTGTTATGATACCTTGCTGAAATACACAGCTTTTTCCATGCAACGCTTTGATGGGTTTTCTCGACAACAGAACGAGACAGGTTGTCGGGTCTGTAAATGAGGCACCATGCTCTCGGAACACACGAACACATCAGACGCGGTCGAACCAAATTAAGCACTTGTTAATTTAATCAGTCGCTTTTAGAAACGCTAATATCACCAGCCAGATGAAATACGTCACCGGTGACACTGTGAAAAGCAATCCTCTATAATATTCCGATGCACCCAATTAACATACAAGAAACACAAGATAACGCGAAAGTGGCGTCGCCGATGTTCGACTCACCACGAGGGTTCCACGGGAGACGACCCACGGTGCCGCCCCTATGGACCCACCACGGGAGACGCCCATTCGCGCCAGCCGCCTCACGCCAAAGAGAGTCCCCAACATTTGTTTCTGCGGCCACCTATCTTCGCAGCCGGGTGAATGCCACTGCTGGCGCTACCGCGCCAACCACAATGACGATGATGGTGAACGAGCACGAGCAGTGCGTCACCCACCACTCGGTGGTTGTTAAACCTTAAGGTGGCTCATCCGCGAGATACGTGTGTGCCACGAGGCGCAAACGACTTTACAGGGGGTGACGGCGCCCCCACAAAGTCGCTTCTACCGGTGCCATTTACAAGTATTGTCTTATTATTATTGTTATTTGTTATCATTATTATTACTACTATTAGATTATTAGGAAACAAGGGGTAAAAGGTCCCTATTTTTTTCCCTCCCGCCGCGGGGACCCAGCTCTACAAGTCCAAAGTAGACACTTGGAATTTAATAAAGTTCTTTCCTACTCCTCTCCTTGTGTAACGTCATATCAAACTCGTTATTAAGTCATTCGTTTACATATTACGCTTGCAAGTGTGGTTATCATATGGTGGTTTTGGGACGTTAAACCTCACAAAAAAAAACAAGTGTGGTTCCATGTTATGCGCGAATGTGTGCCGTGTTCACAGATGAACACGACACACGGATCTTAGCCGCAGTGGCCAAATGGTTACGGTGCTCGGCTGCTCTTTCGATTGTCTCGGGTTCGAACCCTGCGTTGGAAGTCGCGATTTGATGAAGACGAAATGCCAGGGGTTCGCGTATACGTTGTCATTGCATGCTACTAAATGCCAGGTGGTTGAAGTTATGTTCAGCCCTAACTACGGCATGTCTGATAGTTGTACAGTTGTTTTGGCGGGTGAAAGAGCTGATGTTAAATTCATCACTTAATGAGCACTCCAGTAGGGATTACACGCCTGTGTGAATCTGTTATTATTTCCTTTACCGCGTGTTTTGCAGGTTTACCCGTCGTACGCTTATCAGGCAGGACCGCCACCTTACCCACTTAACCACTGATTGTACGCGGGGACCCAAAATGAGCCCTTGCGACGACCTTCACCCAGGGAACGGGCACTCAACCACTTGGCGCAATATCTGTGATATCTTAGAGCACCGATAACCACCGAGAGTACGCGGTCGGTGCACCGGAAGGAATTCTTGTCTCGGGCATTCCATTCGTTTCTTATCGCTCACCTCTCAGGTGCGGGCCATCGCGGTGGTACCGCACGTGAGCGCCCAGCTCCGCCTACAGAACACTGGCGAAGCGAGAAGATGAAACCGATGACGAAAAAGAATGACTACATTAGTGAAAAGTGGCAAGGTTGTTGTGTTGTTGTTCTCCTATTGTTAATGGCGCATACCCACAATGGGGGATTGGCCAAGAATCGAGAGGTTTTAAAATTTACAGTTCAGATTTGGAATAATTGAGGTATAACAGAAAGATTACCGATAGCCTAGGAAAGTGTGGTGCTTATTGTAATGCATACAAATATTTACATAAATGAATTTATTCTTAGAATAGAGCACTAATCTGAGAATAATCTGAAGTGGCACGGTACTGACGTAATCGACGCTGCTATGGCGTCACACGCTCTGCACCAATAGAAAGAAAAACACATTTCATCGTCACCTGTTTAAAGCGAACTTTTTGGAAACGTACAAGCCAGAACCTAATTTTTTTTTACTGTTCAATACATTGCTTTGTTGGAGAATACTATTTATGCACGTTTTTTTTATTAAATTCAATCACTTTTTTGCAGTTAGTCGGTTTTCTGTGCGAAAAGGGGTAGCTATTGTCAACTAAACACTGATAGAAAAAAAAGAAGAAAAAAGTTTTTCTATTAAGATGAAGGCCATGATTATCATCATGATCATTATCGTCATCATCATCATCATAATCATCATGTAGCACGCCAGTACGAAATATTCACATTGGTGCTAGAATCGGTTGATCAGTAATATTAACTGCCAACAGCATGCGCGTGATGTCTATGAATTTGTCACGTCTCTCTGGGAATTACACGAATGAGGCACAATCTTGGCGTGCGTGACGCAACATCTGTGATGAACAACGAACATTCGTTGTGGTTCCCAGACGAACAGGGAAGCATTGGCTGTGCTGCGTTCGCCTGCATGATGTGCTGATGCGGCTGTTCCATCGCGTAAAGGTGGTAATTAGTACAGTAAAGCTTCAACTTTGGCTCAGTTCGTGAGACATTTCTGATGTAGTCGCACTGAGCAACCGCATCATAATGCGTACCACAAATTAGCGCGTTTTCATCTTGCCCCATTTGCTACAGTCCCGTGCTTTTTGATTGACGAAGCAGCATTCGGAATGCTAAATAATAAACACGAAATTGGTCACGCAAGAATGCGCAATTTGTGTTCAGCGTTTCACGCAAACCGATTTAACCCCATTTGCGGGGTAGCTTGACAATTTCTTATGCTTATGCCTACTTAAAAGAGAAACTTGGGTTGTTTGGTGATTCACGATTGTGGTGGGCCAGCTGGTGATTCAACGTGCGCCTGTGTCATGTCTTCCTATAGTCCTCGTCTGTTGTTAGCGCCGTTTTCTTTTCGCAACTTATGTGTGCGATGATCAAATAAATCGATCGTGCAACACTAAGCATCAATATCCACGAATACAGGTTTCAATTACAACACATCATTCACCCCACCGCGGTGGTCTAGTGGCTAAGGTACTCGGCTACTGACCAGCAGGTCGTGGGATCGAATCCCGGCTGCGGTGGCTGCATTTCCGATGGAGGCGGAAATGTTGTAGGCCCGTGTGCTCAGATCTGGGTGCACGTTAAAGAACCCCAGGTTGTCGAAATTTCCGGAGCCCTCCACTATGGCGTCTATCATAATCATATGGTGGTTTTGGGACGTTTAACACCACATATAAATCAATCATCACATCATTGAAGGCTCTGTGCCCTATATTTTGAGCGAAACGATTTTCTTATCTACTGTTTCTCGCTATCCACGTGTTAGCGTGCCGTCTCTTGCTTTGCATATTTTCAAAGAAAAACGAGCCTGGTGGAGAATGTAAATGGCATGTTCACACACGACTTTCTTTTGTGGAGATCAAACTTTCAAAACTCGAGGGCTTTGTGTGCTCTTGTTCCTTAGGAATCTTGTACATAAAATAATTCTCTTTTGACAGTGTAGGGATAAAATCATTTTCTATAGGTACATTGAAAAATGGACATTCCTCGTACTAGAAAAAATCGTGGCAATGAATCATTGGTATAGCTGTCAGTTCAAGCGCACTAGCCCAACTTTCGATTCTGTTGTAATAAATCATTGCATTTCCAGCCACCAACAATCTGATTTATGCAACAAAGTGAAAGTAATATACGTGCCGTTATGACTGAACAGTACCCAGTTAAATTTTTATACGCTTCTGCCACGCACTATATACGATGTGTTAAGAAGACTCCTTCTATTGCATGACATCCACGTAGTGTTTCTTTTCTTTCAATGCTACTTTAACATATATTGTGGCTCTGTGGCAGAACACTCGCTGGTCACGCAGATGGCCTTGGTTTTATCCTCACTGGGAGCCGGAAATCCTTATTATTTTATTTGCATATTTCCCAGTTTTCCTTTCACGGATAAGTTATTTTTTTTCTCACCACCAACGACGCCAACGATTACGCCAAAGACGACATTTCTGCGAAACGAGCTCCTTAACGCCATCGCGTTCAAGCGAGATTGCCCGAGTGTTAGCGAAACGTAAAGTAAGATTTCTTAACAGTCGAAGATGGAGTTTTAATGGTGAGAATACCGATAAAGTGTTTCATATCGAGTGGCTCCCAAAAAGTGAGAAGTGAATAATAATTCATGCGGGCTAACGTTCCAAAGCCATGGTGAAATTAAAGGGGGACGGAGCAGAGGGCTCTGGAAATTTCAACCACCGGGTAGTTTAATGCGCATACCTAACCACCATATTTTAGAACGTCCCTTCACTCAACGCTTCCCCTTGACTTGAAAAAGTCGACGTGAGTGCCGTCTCTTGGCGGACCGAGTCACTGCATATCGGCGATAATCTGCGGCGATTCTTGAGAAGCGCAGTGTCAATTTCAGTCGAGCATTGGACGCAGTGCTGAACTCAGTCAAGTGAAGGACGAAATTTGAGTCGAGGAGCGTTTGTGAATTTGGCGGTAAGTACAGTCTGTTGCACAATTAATGAAAATCTCGTAGCGCGGGACATCGCGATGCGACCATGAAATGGCAGTCGCGCACTGCATAGAGTTTCCTAGATAATTTTAGGAAGCTCTATGGCACACTGGCAGAAGCTCGCGCATGCGCAGACGATTGAGGGGCGTATAGTGTCGAACGGTGGAACCACGTCGACTGATACGGCAGCGCACGCAGGCCGTGCACACTTTCAGGCACCAGGCAGATTTCGTCATTAATGCCACAGTTAAAGGGAAGCTGAAGCACTTCTCTAAAAAAAATGACTTAGGAGACTGTAAGGACAGTTTGATCCTTGCTCAATTAGAAAAGCGATGTTACATTTCTCAAAAGTGAACGCCAATAGCACTTTTTGATTAAAAAAAGAACAGTGGCCGTGGCCGCCGGGTTTCTGGAGACGCTGACCAAGCACGGTGACGTCATTCTCGGCATGACACGTCATCTGCAACACGAGCACTGCTGAAGTGTGCCCTTTTCGATTAGTTCCGGCAACGGCACATCATGGGTTAGCTGTGGAGGCCGTGGTTGAAGATGAGAAAAAAAAAAACACTTGCTCCGGGCCAGAGGAAACGAAGATGACGTATGTTTCAACGCCCACACTTTCAGCGCATTCGCGGGGGCGGAGCAAGACGAGCTTTTATATCACCTGTTCTAAAGCTCCTGCTGCTACAATCCGCGAAAAAAATTATGACATCGTGCGACAAACGACAGTGACAAGATTTGCTGTCGCGCAGGCCCGTCCGTCGCCTCAGCTTCTCGCGTTTCTGGAAAACTAGGAAAGATCGCTTGTCGCCTGCAAGCCAGCGTGACCACTTGGGCAACATGGCTGCCTGCACCCCTGATCCTCGCTTCGGTCGGAGTTTTCTCTCGATGCTTGTTATCCGCGCGTACTTCAAGGATTACAAGAAATCGGCCACCTTTTTTACATTCGCATCTCACGCGGAGAGTGAAAGAGCGGCCGTATTTTGTCGTAAACCTTGTTATCCAAGGTCTGTTTTGATGTTTTGACGGTAGTTTGTGACAGTTATGGTCGCTTGCTGCGATGTGAAATCGTCATGCGAAGTGCGTCGGTGGCGCCCCGCCGCGGTGGTCTAGTGGTTAAGGTACTCGGCTGCTAACCCGCGGGTCGCGGGATCAAATCCCGGCCGCGGCGGCTGCATTTCCGAGGGAGGCGTAAATGTTGTAGGCCCGTGTGCTCAGATTTAGGCGCACGTTAAAGAACCTGGGGTTCTTTAACCTTAAACCTGGGGTTCTTAACTGTTAAAGAACCTGGGGATTTGGGTGCACGTTAAAGAACCCCAGGTGGCCGAATTTTCCGGAGCCCTTAACTACGGCGTCTTTCACAATCATATGGTGGTTTTGGGACGATAAATCCCACATATCAAACAAATCAGCGCGTCGTAGCGTACGATTCTGGGCACCCTGTCGTGGTTAAACCAAAGATTGCAGAAAAAGAAGGTCGTGCAATGCTTTTGTGGTTTCTTTATGCCCCACAAGACAGCGATAAATTTGGCATCGTCCAGCTTTTAAACTTCTATTCGCAATTTGCCATCGCACCATACATCTCGCCACCAGTACGAGTATTGCGTGGCCTGAAATGGAAGACTTGCCTATGTTACCTCGATGACATTGTCGGGACGCCTCGGCCGCTGGATTCTACGCCTACAAGAGTATGATTTTGACATCGTATACAAGTGTGGCAGAAAGCATAGCGATGCCGATGCTCTTTCTCGCTGCCCACTATCAGCGGCTCCCCTCAGCGTTTCCGCAATCACTTTGCACAACACACCCTCGGAGTCCACGTCTACGGCGGTTTCCTCTCTCGCCTCTATGGACCAGCTGCCTTCGGACGACCCGCACGATTTTTCTTCTCGACAGCTGGCTGACCCATACTGTCGACGTATTATAGGCTACCTCACTG